TTTAATGCATCCTTGCTGAATAAAAGTATTAATTTCTTTAAAAAGAATGTCCCTATAACAGTTTAATCATGAGAGGTGGTGAGATGAGAAGTGTGTGTTCAGTTTTACCTGTGAGGGGCGCTGCTGTCCGGCTCAACGACTGCAGATTTGTGCACCTCCACCCCTACTGACCTGTTCATGAGGCCGTGCCATAGACAGAACAAGAGAAGAAAGACTGCAATAAACTACACAGAAACAGAGAAACCGTGACAGATTAAGATGATGTGTGGAGGTACCTTTGAGGAGGTGAAGATGATGTGATTCCTGTGCTGCCAGGTAAGGAGTTGGGCAGATTTGTTGCGGCAAACTCACTGGAGCTTCCAGCCAAAGGATCAGTTTGTGGAAGCAGGTCTGGTCTGCCCGACTGCATGCCTGAGAACAACAATCACACAGGGAGTTATGATTTGATTTATGCTCCAAAGAAAGTACACGATAAAAGCCGATTCACAGTACATCTGAAACACAGACGAAAGTCATACACAAGAATATTTGAAAACAATGGATCTCTCTCAACTCATCAAATAAATTCACGATGTTTTACAGTGATGTCTTTAAAGGTGCAGTGTGTACATTTTAGTGGCATCTAGTAGTGAGGTTGCGAATTGCAATCAACGGCTTAGTCCCCCCCCCCTAAAAAAGATATAAATTGCCCAATCTAAGGTAATAAAAACATAACGGTTCATCAAGTAAGATCTTTATACACCTCTGAAAACATAGTTATGAATATTATATTGCATTTCTGTCAATAGATCGAAGTAAATATTACACATTACACCTTTAAAGAATGAAGAAAATTCAAAACCAGGGATGATGTAAATAGTCTGGGTTGCATTACTCACCACTCTCTCCTTCTGCATCGGTCTGGTTAAGGTGAGTATGGTACACCAGTCTGGCGTCAGCTACTGTCTGTCCACCGGGCGCAGAAGCAGAGCTTCCCATCGGAAGCCGTCTCACAACACTCGAACAGCCACTTCGACTCTTCTTTGAGGGAGATGATTTTACTGGGAACGAAGAGAGGGTTTGGATGATGACACCACAAAAATATTAAAAGCTCAATGTCTAAAAACTAGGTCTGTCAATTTAACACGTTAACTTAATTCAAATATTTTAACACTGTTAACGCACTAGCCCCCAAGAGAGCCATTTACTTACCTTTAAAGAATGAAGAAAATTCAAAACCAGGGATGATGTAAATAGTCTGGGTTGCATTACTCACCACTCTCTCCTTCTGCATCGGTCTGGTTAAGGTGAGTATGGTACACCAGTCTGGCGTCAGCTACTGTCTGTCCACCGGGCGCAGAAGCAGAGCTTCCCATCGGAAGCCGTCTCACAACACTCGAACAGCCACTTCGACTCTTCTTTGAGGGAGATGATTTTACTGGGAACGAAGAGAGGGTTTGGATGATGACACCACAAAAATATTAAAAGCTCAATGTCTAAAAAACTAGGTCTGTCAATTTAACACGTTAACTTAATTCAAATATTTTAACACCGTTAACGCACTAGCCCCCAAGAGAGCCATTTACTTCATTCCTGAATGAATCAGCCATTTGAATGAATCAAATGAAGACATTTACCGCCACCTGCTGGCAGATTTAGTTCCTTATTTAGAGTATCATTTCATTAAAGGCAAGGTTTGTCTGGGTTTGTGATGTCACAAACCTGGGAAGTAACTCATTGTAGTCCCTACGAGCCGTTTTTGTAGGCATTAAACTGCCAGAATTTCAAAAGGCAATATCTTCGTCATTGAACTTTCAGCTCCGTAACTTTGCATATATTGTTTATGTTCAAACAGCAACATTACACACTAACTAACATTAAAAAAGTGAAATCGCAACCAACCACCCTTTAAAAAATACATAATAATAATAATAATAATAAAAATAAAAACATTAAAGGAATAGTTCACCCAAGAAATGTAAATTCTGTCATCATTTACTCACCCTCATGTCGTTTCAAACCTTTCTTTTGTGGAACATAAAAGAAGGTATTTTGAAGACTGTTGGTAACAAAGCTGTTTTGGATACCAATGGCTTTCATTGTATGAACAAAAATACTGAGATGTTTTCTCGGTAATGATCTTCTTTTATGTTCCATAGTTTATGTTAGGCCGTTGTAACTTAAATGTTTATGTGTAATAAATTTTGTGTTGAATCAAAATATTTCTTTCTAAAGCTACAATTTGTAATGGCTACTTGATACTTTCACATTTAACACAAAAATAGCTTTAAATAATCTTTTGTGGGTATTTTCACAGTCAAATGTATTTTGTGATCAATTCGATTAATTAATCGACACATCATGTAATTAATTAGATTAAAAATTTTAATCAACTGACAGCCCTACAAAAAACGTAAAGGTCGGTTAAATAAAAAATGAAAAATGTTATTTACTCACCCTCATGTCGTTTCAAACCCATAAGACTTTTGATCGTCTTCAAAACACAAGTAAAGGTTTTTTTTTATGTAACCTGAGAGATTTCTGTCCCTCCCACCAAAACTTTTAAGAAGGGATGCACCGATACCGATACTGGTATCGGGCCCGATACGGAGCTCCTGTACGCCTACTCGCACTCGTTAAAATGCCCCGATACCAAACGCCGATACCACACAACATGTGTTAAGTGCCATATTCAGACAATGAAACACAGACAACAGAACAACAGACAGCAGAATGGAGTTATTAGAGATTAAGGATGTCTACAAAGTATATGTATGCAATTAATGTAATGTTAAACATTCAGTATTGACTGTATAGCTGATGTGCGTGAGCTGATGAGCAAAGCACGCTGAGTGGATTGAGCGCGCGGCGACGCAGATGCGCGAGCTTGTCGAGTAAATATACCTTTCTCACAGACATCACTGGAAAGTTTGTAGTTCGGTCGGATACGTCAAAAACAAGTAAGTAAAACAATGCACAAGTTACTTAATGGTAGAGAGAGAGAGAGAGAGAGAGCGAGCGCACACACTTCTGTTGTGTGATCTTTGATGTTCACTCACTAAGCACATGCATCATTTGGATTAAAACTAAATCGTAAAAATAAGACTATTTATAGGGGCATTCACTAATTATTTTTAACCTTAGAAGCAAAAAATGAACAGTGAAAGTAACAAAAACTTGTAAAATATATTTTGATGGGCATAATTAAGTGTGAAAATAACCAAAGGATATACAGTCAAACCAAAAATTATTCAGACCAGATATAATTTTTTTATATTTTTTTACTAGTGGGTGCAGGACACTATAGTTCATTTATGTAAATGAGGATAGAAAAATAAAGTAAATTGTGACAAAGTATACCCAAAAATTCTTCATACAGTGGACTACTAGCAAAACTGATACAAATTTAGGACCAAAAATTATTCAGACAGAGTCTGGGAAGAAAAAAAAAATGAAGTTGAGGTTTTCATGAAGCTGGATGACAGCATGCCCAGGAGACTACAGGCTGTCATTAAGGCTAAGGGTTGCCCGACTAAGTATTGATAGTTGTGTAAATACTGTCATACTAACAGCTGTCT